AACATATGGTAGAATTTAATATTTATGTGCCTTTATGGAAAGGAATTCATTGTTTTATGATGGAATTTTAAGGGAGATAAATGAGACCTGAAGCAAGACTGAGTTTCTTTAAAATGAGTCCTGGATAAGGAGTGAAGAAGTGGCAGTTAAGAAATTCTAAAATTGGGACAATTTTTAATGCATACTTTAAAAATAAGCACTTATTTGTTTAAATTAGACCTTCATGATAAAGTACCATTATTTTATAAAATGCTGATTCTAGTCAGTAACAATATGGAATTATAAAACTATAATTCACAATACTTAGGAAACTCAAAATCACTATGTTTTAATGCAATTAATTAAAAACTACTATAAAACAGAAAGATTTTCAGTTTTTCAAACATTTTATAATTGGTGAGAAGTATAAGCAATTTTATTAATAACAATAAGCATTGTTATTATTAATAAATCTTCTAATGGTGTGTTCCATTTCAAGGATATCAGCCAAAATTGCTTTTAGCTAATGTAAATAGCCTGAATTTTACAGAGAGAAACACACAGTTTCAAATTCTAAGTTTGTCACTTTCTAAATGTAACTTTGAGTTATTTACTTGGCTCGTCTGTGACCAATTTCCTCACTAGCAAAGGAATAATAATCCTTATTCCACCATTCGTGAAAATTAAATGACATAAAACTGCACTTCCATTGAAGACAAACTGAGACAGTCAGAACAACCTTCCCAAATAAACAGCTGGAAACTAATTTTTAAAAATATTCTGCTTGAGAGCTTTGGGGAACCAACAAGATAGGGGAGAATTACAGAGCCGAAATCTGGGGCAGAAACCCACTGAAGTAAGCTCAGCTTGGGACCTATTTTCCCCTCTATTGTATGCGGGTTCTGGAAGAGGATGCTGAGAAGCCCAAAAGCTGAGCAGAACTTTCAACCAGCTCACATGAACAGCAGCGCCGTAATGGTGTTCAGAGTCTGTTCTCAGCAGGGATCCTGAAGGGCACCTCCTTGGGAATAATGGTCTATCCGAGTAGACTAGCCTTCACAGAGACTGAAACCCAGCTTCAAATCATCTCAACCCAAGCGGTAAGAAATGAGAGAAGAGAACACACGGTGAGATGAAGAGAAATCAAGCAACGACATAGTAGATTTAAACTCAAGTGCATCAATAAGTACATGAAGTGAAAATGGGCTAAATGCTACAATTAAAAGACAAAGATTGACAGACTGGCATAAAATGTATGTATATTCTTCTTAATATGGGCCGAACCTAAAATACAAGGAACAGTCTAGAAGTAAAGGAATGAAAAAATATATACCTTGTAAATACTAATTGCGGTCGTTTTAAAATAGGACCACAAATTCCTTGATACTTCTGTCTTCAAAGGTGGAGCCTTTTTCCCCTCCCTTGAGAGTGAGTTGTATTTAGTGACACTTCTAATGAACAGAATGTGGCAGAAATGTAAGTGTGTGACTTCTGAGACCAAGCCATAGAATACATTGTGGTTTCCTCCTTGATCTCTCTCTCTGGATTGTTTGCTCTGTGGGAAGCTAGCCATCATCTCATGAGGACACTCAGGCAGCCCTATGAAGAGATCCATGTGAGGAACCAAGGCTTCTTGCCAATAGCCAGTGAGGAACTGAGGTCTCCAGTCAACAGCTATATGAGTGAGCCCTCGTGGAAGTGGATCATCCAGCCCTGGTCAAGCCTTTGGAAGACTGCAGACCCACTTGACATCCTGGCTGCAACTTCATGAGAGACTAAGCTGCACCTAGATTCTTGATTCTCTTAAAGTGTTAGGAATAATAAATATTTGTAGTTTTAAATGACTATGTTAATGGATACTTTGTTAGTCACCAATAAATAACCAAAAGAAAACTGATAGAACTGCACTAATATGAGAAATATTCGTGTATGTGTGTGGGTGTATATATATACAAATACATATATAAATATATAAATATATATAATATACATAAAGTATATATCTGTTTATATATAAAGTATACATATATACTTTAAAGCAAAAATGAGAGACATTATGGGAAGAGGATTTAATTTAATGGTTATATATAATAATTCTAACTTTATGTCACCTACTAAAATAGCCTAAAAACATATGAAGCAAAAACTGATGGAATTACAAGGCGAAACAGGCAAATGCGCATTCATGCTAGAAGATTTAAAAATACTTCTATGGAACTGACAGAACAGGCAGACAAAAAAAGGATATAGAATATTCGAACAACCCAGTTAGAATTTGAATAACCAACAACTGCAGACCATACCTTCTTTTCAAATGCATGCAGAAATTTTTTTAAATTGCTAGACCATAAAGCAATTCTCAACAAATTTCAAAGGAGTAAAATCACAGAGATTACATGACCATAGACTAATGGATAATAAAAAGATAACTAGAAAATTATCATATGTTTGTAAAATACAAAATATATTTCTAAATAACCTTTGGGTCAAAAAGAGATCACAACAGAAATTAGAAAATACTTTAAACTTAGTGGTAATGAAAATATGTGCAGAATGCAATAAAAGTCATGTTTTAGAGGAAAAATTCTACAACCTTAAACATAGATGTTAGATAAGAATAAAGGCCGAAAATCAATAATTTAAACATCCATCTCAAGAAGTTAGTAAAAGAAAAACAAATTAAAACCCTCAAAAATAGAAGTTAGAATTAATGAAGATAGAAGCCAAAATTAATGAAACACAAAACAAACACATGAGAGAATTTAAAAAATCAAAATGGATTTTTTGAAAGAATAATGAAGTTATGAAGGGGTTTGCAATAATCCCACCTGACTGGGTAGTAATTTAAGAAAAGTGTTTTCTACTCTGTTTGAATCACGGCTCCAGAGCTGGTGGCACAGAAACAAAACAGACAGACAGTGTCCTCAAGTATAGAAGCTAACAGTCTAGCATGAAGACCAACAGTAAGCAGATGGAATAAAAGCTCTGTTACAAGTGTGACAGCAGTGGCAAAAACAGGGAGCCCCGGGAGTTCACGGAAGAGCAGAGTGCTGAAAGATAAGCAAGATGTAGCTAGATGGAACATTAAAGAAAAGATGACTCAGGAAAGAAACATCAGGTACAAAGCAAGACACAGCTGGTATCTTCTGGGACCGGCAAATAGTTTTACATAGCTACAGTGGGAGGTATGAGCACAGTGTGAAAGCTTTTTACTTCCAAAATGCCTCAAATTCATTCACTCACTCAATCTCCAATGCCAAACCCTTTCATAAATTACCACATTTTGCCTAAACTACACAGAAGCCTCCCAGGCAGTTTTCCTGCATGCATTTCCCTGTTTTACACGCCAATCTTCACACTGAAGCCAACATAATTTTTCTTAAATATACAATCTCAATCCCCAGCTATAGTTCTTGTAGCACTGCATACTTTACCTTCGTAACATTTATCTTAGTTTGTAATTAAATTTATTTTATTACTACTTATTTAATTACAGCTGATCCTCCTACGAGAATGTATAGGAATTGGAGATTATAAGCTCTATGCATTTTGTAAAGCCTTGGTTAAAATTATAGCTAGAATATTAAGTTGTAAGTCGAAACATTATTTCGTAAGAAAATAAAGAATAATACCATTGTGATGACAGGTCTCTTGAAAATGTAACTGAACTAGTTATTATTCTTTGTCACTATACAAGACAAGAAAGACACTATATAAGATAAGAAAATAAAGTTCCAAAGATATTTATACTCCTGTGATTATCAAACATGAAAACCAGAGAACCAGCCAGGTAAGATAAAGTTCACATTTAAGTTAAACATATACACATTTTGTGCTGTCATATTCTGTCATCATGAAATATTTTTGATAATGATAAGCAGCTTCCCCTGATATTCTTCTACTGTGCTAACTACATTTTTTCTCCCACAGAACATTAAAAAGCTGTGATTATTGCAAATTGATATTTTTACATTTTTGATGTATTAAACACCAAAACATTGAACAAACACAGTTAGACTATGTTTGGTAGGAAATTGAATTTGGTTCCTGATATAGTTTGAATGCGTGTCCCCTCAGAATCTCATGTTGAAATGTGATCTCCAGCGTTGAAGGTGGGACCCAGTGGGAGGCATTGGATCATGGGGTGGATTCCTCATGAATGACTTAGTGCCATTGCCTCAGTGATGAGTGAGAAAAGTGTTTCTCACTCAGTTAGTTCATGTGAGATCTGGTTGTTTAAAAGAGTCTGGGACCTCCTCCCTCTTTCTCTTTCTCCTACTCGCTCCATGTACATGCCAGCTCCCCCTTCAACTTTCATGTGACTGGAAGCTTCCTGAGGCACTTACCAGAGGCAGATGCTGGCACCATGCTTCCCATACAGCTTGCAGAATCTTGAGCCAAAATAAACCTCTTTTCTCTATAAATTGTTCAGTCTCAGGTGTTCCTTCATAGCAATGCAAATAGACTAAGACAGTTCCTTAAGTGATAGTGAACACACTAGAAAATAAAGTTCCAAAGATATTTATACTCCTGTGACCATCAAACACGAAGACCAGAGATTAAATTAAATTAAATTAAATAATTGTTAACTATAGGCTAACTTATCTTATTCCCTAATTCTATCACTAAGTCACATATGTAAATGATATGAATTCATTTGCTAGTTAGAAAGCATTGAGGCCCTTTTTTTGCTTCATACAAGTTTGTTTGAGAAAAATAAATTATAATTCTAAGAGATTCAATTTTAAGTGAATTTTCTATTGGAGTAGAACGCATAGAAAGTTTTCCAAATTATGCGTCTGTCATGAGGTGACTCTTCACAAATTGAGTATATTCCAGATCAAGAAACAGAATACTATCAGTGCTCTAGGAACTCTCCTTGTCCCCCTCCAGCAACTGCCCCCATGAAGGGAGCCACCATCCTGACTTTCAACAATTTATGTTCATTTTTTTCTCTTTTGAACTTCATATAAAGTGTACATTATACAGCCATTTAGTTCTTGCTTTTTTTTTTTTCCAGGCTTAATTCACTTTATTTTTCTTGTATAAAAACCCTATGTTGTAGCCACAGCTGGAGCCTGGGTCCGCGGCACGGAGACTCTGGTGCGGGTCTTGACAAGGTGGTCAGTGAATTCCTGATAGGGAGACTTGGTAAATACAGTCTCCTTCCAGAGGTCAGGGGTCAGGTAGCTGTAGGTCTTACAGATGGCATCAAAGGTGGCCTTGGCGAAGTTGCCCAGGGTGGCAGTGCAGCCCCGGGCTGAGGTGTAACAGTCATGGATACGAGTCATCATGAACAGCTTCTTGGCCACAGGCGCTGAGACGAAGCCAGTGCCCCTGGGTGCACGGATGAGGCGCACCAGCACAGAGCCGCAGCGGCCTGTCACCTTGCAAGGGACGGTGTGGAGCTTGACAGTCTTGTTCCCCCAGTAGCCTCTGCGCACGGGGACAATGGAAAGTTTGGCCAGGATGATGGCCCCACAGACGCCGATGGCCACCTCCTTGGAGCACTTAACACCCAGGCCGACGTGGCCATTGTAGTCCCCGATAGCAACAAAGGCCTTGAACCTGGTGCGCTGGCCAGCATGGGTCTGCTTCTGCACGGGCATAATTTTCAAAACCTCGTCTTTGAGAGAGGCCCCCAAGAGAAAGTCAATGATCTCAGATTCCTTAATGGGCAGGGAGAAGAGGTAGATCTCCTCCAGGGACTTGATCTTCATGTCCTTGACCAAGCGGCGCAGTTGGTGACGGGCATGCACTCCTTATCCTCGGCCTTGCCTCCCTGAGCTCCGCCCCTCGGCCTCGGCCTCGGCCCCACCCCCACCCTGTCCACAGCCGTGACCCAGGCCCCAGATGCCACTGCCTAAACTCCGCGGAAGCCACCGCGGTTCCCCATCCCAGGACCATCAGGGCCTCTGGGCCCCCCCGCTGCACCGGCGTCATCCGCCATTTGGTGTTTTCTCGGAGAAGAAGAGTTAGTTCTTACTTTTTATGCTTCACACTATATTTGTGAGATTCATCCATGTTGTTGTATATATTTGTGGCTCATTTATTCTTATTTCTGTAAAGTATCCAGTTGCATTATATTAATTAAAAACAAATCAAACTTAGATAAGGAGAGACTTTATTCAAAAAGACTATTGCAACAGGAAGAACGTGCCAACCTCAGATATTTGCAAGTGTCTCAAAATCAAACAGAAAGAAGATTTTCCTTTTTATGGAGGGAGAAGGACCAGCCAGACCTTTGTGGAGAAGGGCATAGAGTGTGGCAAGCAGGTGGCAAAACCAGGATATTCCAATAGGAAGTGTTTCTATCTATGGTCAGTTGATTTTCAGGATGAGCTGTTAACAGATGTTCTGCTCCTTAGTGTTTCGGGTCTTGCTTAAACTTGCAGGAGAGCCAAAATCTAGGAATCTTTGTGGAGGAGAGAAGCCTGACTAAAGTCTGGTCAAGCCAAAGCAGAGGGTCAGAAATGAACTATTGTGAACACGTGGTCAGTTCCCCTTGTTGCTTAAGACAAAGTGTGTTTTTAAACACCACTAGGGATGGAATAAGAGTCATTGTGAAGCTGAGTTTGATCCGTCATTTTCAGGGGTGGGCTGGTCTTCACGTTCTTGATCTTGAATGACCAGCTGTCATGTTGTGAGCATGCTGTCTGTCTGACAGCTGGTGGAGGGTCTTAGAGATCAGGCACTTAGCATAAGGTACACCTTGTGATGTCATCTGCTTGGTCCAAAGGTCTTGAGAAAGCTCTCTACCTCTCTATTTGCAAGATCTATGTCTACCTATAATGGCTCTGCTCCCTAGAAGTACTCAACAGCTGTTGTTCCTGTAGCGCAAAGTGAATCAGAAATGTGAATGAGAATGTTTTGAATGTGGGGATTGTCAATGGCTTGGGAGGCTGTGGGAAAGGCAAGAAAACTTTCCCCAAATTGAGGATATCAACTTGGATATAGTACATGTGCCCCAGTTATCGTGGCCAGGACTGATATGTGACTTCTTCAAATTCTGGACAGTTCCTGCTCCACTTGAACTCTATTGTCCATTATTCTCCGTGCTACTTTTGTGATGAAGAAAGACAGAATAAATACCTCAGCTGTGTTTGCAAAAAGGCTGGTTCTAACTAGCCTTCCTTGGCCAAGTGCCCACTGATGTTGTAGTGAAGTCAAAGAGCATTTGTCTTCAAGATTCAATGGCCTATGAAAGTCATTAATAAGTTTAATTATGTCACACTGAAACTTTGTGAAATATAAGATACTGGTTTTCAGAAAATTGACTCATTGAGAAATTCATAAGACTCACCAAATTCCACAGTCTCCACAACCTCTTTCACCTTCTGCTCAAGCAGAGGAGGAGGGCATATGGAGATAGGTCTTGAGTATAATTGGAAAACACAGTGAGTCATTTTTGCTTGTCCATTCCTATTTGAAAGAAAATATCATTTCAGTGATTTAATTTTTGGTACAAAACCTGGCTTAGTCCTAGAACTGTAAGTGCTTCCACACCTACTATTATTAAACCCATCATTAAGAGTCACTTATTTTTTGGTAATTGGAATTGCATGTTTGAGAGAGTAAACTAAAACCACCTTGTGACCTGGCTGCTACCTCGTTGGGGCAGTTCTATCCCAGAAAGTGGTTACTTAAAGAATATTGTAATGACAATGGGTGAGATGATGTCCGCACCCTGAGCCAGAGTTATTTTAGAGATAGTCCCGTGGTAAGTGAATCACATGTTTATCTTATAGTGAAAATATGGATTGCACATTTTTCTGTTTATAAAGAGGAAGAAAAGAAACATTGTTGCCTAGAAAACTCTCTGCTGAGAAATGCCTAGTGGTAATGGTATAATTTTGATGCCATGTGACAATTGGATTGAGAAATCTAATATTGCAGGCAGCATTGTAGAAGAAAGTTAAGATAATTTATAGCTCATTCTGAGTGATGATCCAGCTTTGGGTTGTCCTGGTTCCTGGATTTTCTTCCTTCTCTTTCCAAAAGCCTGTTTAGGGACGATTTTATTGCTCATTAGCACCTCGCTAAGACAGCTGGCAAGAAACGATGGAGATGGAATTTGCATCATTCAATGCATTTGTATTTTTTGGATTCATAGAAGATTTCTGAAGAAAAGAGCACCAAAATAACTGTGAAATGAGGTTTGAAGACCTCTGGGAACTTTAATAACGTATCTTGTCCTTACCCCATAGCAATTATAAGTGCATCTATTTGACTGCCTTTATTGTAAGCACCTTTCTTAGATTCCCAAAGCAAATCCCATAATGCCACAAATGATATCAGGGCCTCTGACATAGACCTTTTCTAAGTGCTGGGGACTGGCCTGTGATAAACAGTTGATCACTTCTCCAGCCCTTATTGGTTCCTTTGTGATTTCATCCCTGTGGGGCTCTTCCAACATCAAGCTTCCAATTTGAGGGCGTCCACAAAGCCAACTGACAAGTACAGGAATCAAATACTATACCGTAACATTTATTCTTTTCAGTGTGATCACTTGGTGTTTGATTTGTTTTCTGGCTTGCCTTTGAGAGCCTTTGTTTTCTGGATTCTTGGCTGTCTTGCCCTTCCCAGTGACAAGGAGCACATGGCTTTGTTTCTCCATAATCTCCATAATCGACACCTCTGTTTGTGATGATGAAGTACATCCATAAGCCTCTTGTGTAGAGCAACTTACTTTACTTTCTAGAAGTTGGGGGAGAGGTGAACAGATGCCATGTTGTGTCTCATATTCAGAACTCATTGGTGACCCTGGGAGAGAACACATTGTGACTTTCTTTTGGAAATGTCAACACCTTACACATATCAGACCAGAATTTGTCTTCTATGCCAAATCCAACATGAACTTATCTCTTGGAAGAGAGATACTGCTCTTCTGGAAGGCTTGGAAACTCGATGGGAAAAGCTGTGACAGCAGCTGCCTTATCGCTAGACCTAACACTTGTCCTCCCTTTAGTATCAGTGTGATTTGTAATCAAATTCAGTTAACGAAACTGGTATTCTTTGATTCCTCTTTAGTAGAAATTGATGGGGGGCAGTGTTTACAATTACACCTGAGGCAAAATTTCAATGTGAATGTTCAGCCATGTGAAATGATTCAGAAGTGAACTTTCCAATTTGATGCTAATACACATCTATAGTGGCACTTTACATTTTCTTATTCCAAATCCCATATTATTGCAAAGCAAAGGGGAAAAAATGAGATCCCTATTAGTACATTTGTCGTATGTTGAACGGGCCAGGTAGGAGTTTCCATTGCAGTTGTAGACCAAATTGCGTCCCCCTGAAATTCTTATGTTGAAACACCCAATATGACTGTACTTGGAGAAAGGATCTTTCAGGAGGTAATTAAAGTTAAATGAGCTCATAAGGGTGGGACCCTAGTCCAATATGACTGATGTCCTTGTAAGAAAGAAGAGAGACAGCAGAGATGCACACATGCATGGAGAAAAGACCATGTGAGGGCACAGTGACCAGGGAACCATCTGCAAGCTGAGGAGAGAGGCCTCAGGAGAAACTCCTACCCAGCTGACACCTTGATCTTGATCTTCCAGCTTCTAGAACTGTGAGAAATACATTTCTGTTGTGTGTGGCCTATGGTATGTTGTTATGGCAGTCCTAGATGGCTGATACAATTGTCAAAAATGTCTTCTTGGGAAAAGGTGAGAACGTCAAGCCTTTGAGCTTTTGGTTAAATTTATCTTTTGTGGATTCTATGGATTTAATTTGGTTGCTTTGAACAAAAATAATGTAGTCCTTTTATAAAAATCATATCAGAGCAGCAATAGAAAAGCACAATTTTGAGTTCCTTAGAAGTTCAAATCAAGACTCACCAGATGGGTGGGGTAGGCTTTGATGTATTTGACACGCGAGGAACCTGGTGGAATGTTGGGCATGATTATTTCAACCAGAAACACCTAAAGAAGGAAATGTACTACTGTCCTCGTTGTGGTTGTGTTATGTTGATCATTCCATAAGCTATATCTTTCTCTTTCCTATCTGCATCTCCCAGATTTTCTTCAGTGTGCTGGCATATCTTTTATAATGGAAAACTAAAACATAATTGGCTTGAAAACTTTATATATGTGTCTGTGTAGTTATATACATAACATTTTAAGTGGAAACTAAATGGTGAGAACACATGGACACATGGAGGGGAAACAACACACTGGGGCCTTTCAGAGGGTGGAGGGTAGGAGGAGGGAGAAGATCAGGAAAAACAAGTAGGTACCGGGTTTAATACCTGGGTGAATAATCTGTACAACAAATCCCCATGACACAAGTTTACCTGTGTAACAGACCTGCACATGTACCCCTGAACTTAAAAACATTATGCTACACAGGAAAAAAAAAGGCTTGTTGTATGCTTGCCATGATGTGAACATACTTGCTTCTTTGGCCTGACTGAATAAACGTAACCAGGGAAACCATTTTACTCCCAGAATCAACAATAGGATGGAGCCTTGCTGTCTAGGATAAGATGGGGCTGGCTATTCATTCTAAGGCCCTTCCTTCCTTCTTCTTGACCTACAAGCTGGCCTCCCTGCAGCTCCCTTATCTTCAACTTGTAGGGAGCATACTCCAGCTCAGAGAAAAACTGCTTCTCTCTTCCCTAGGCACCTCCTTCTGTTTCATTATCTCTTACCAGTTGCGACACAGTCCAAGGTTGTGATTCCAGACAGCAATGGGCTTGGACATTCCCTCCACACTTTTAGCCAGTCCAGAGGTTATCCAAACAGCCAGTGGGCAAAGAGAAGTATCTCTCAAATGATAATACAAAAAAAATTCAACAACTAAAATTGAGACTGCCCTGGCCACCCAACAACTGTGCTAATTGATCTCACTATATATCCATGACCACTAACCTCAAATGGGCAATCCTACCACATATGCCTAGTTTATTCACCTATTTTCCTAAATTACTAGTTCACATCTTTTTCTCTACCCCCAAATCTCCTACTCCCCCACCTTCCCCATTATTCTCATTTATAACATTATATTCTCATTATAACATTTACAGACATCATAGAACCAGTCACCATCAACTTTCCACCATCAAATCTATCAATCTATCAATTCATACCTGCATTCAGCACCCAAACTGCAATTCTTCAGCTACATTGAATTTACTATCATTGCTTTACCAAAATCTAGTCCCCCTCCACCTGGATCCCATACCCTCTCACCTGCTCAGTTATCATGTTTCTTGTATTATCCTCTCTCTAATGAGTACTCTCATCAGCACAGAAACACTGATACTAAATTAACTTTTCAGAGTCCCAGCCCCACCAGTAAGAATAAGAGCATTTAGATTCTAAATACTCTTCTTTATATTTATAGATCCTAAATATTTAGATTCTTCCACAAACTCTGTAACCCCCTTTCCTCTTCTTTCTTCCTTAAAGCCTTCTTGCCTCACGTATGCTATTTTATTTTATTAGGCGTGGTACAAAGAAAAACATAATTGTGAATTTAGTCCCTGTTTTAGCCAATGATTCTCTCACTGGCTTGTGGATACAACAGTCTTTCTAAAATGTGGCCAGCTTTCTAGAAAATGCTACCAGAAGATGCGGAAGGATAAGTAGTGTCAATTCTCTATTTATTAACAACAATTTGAAGCATATTAACTAAAACCAGATTTATTTTAAGATAAGTGAATCTTGGGAAAAAATCAAAAAGATTGTTTAAATGGTAAGAAAATTAGACCTAGATTTATCTCCAAGCTTATTAAGCTGAAGAAACACTTAAGAATGTTCTTTTTTAAGTAGGAGAATTATTCATTTGACAATGATTAACTGATTACCAATTGCATTAGTAACGAAGAAAAAATGGATGTTAATAGAACCATGAGCATTAGTGTATTTCTTAATCTTTAGGGATTGAAATGTATTACTCAATAAGTTTTAGCATTTTTTGCCCTAGAGTAGATATTTTCATATAAAACATAACTGCCTCATTACAGTGGCTGTTCTTGAAGTCAGAGGAAGGTAATAGATTCTCTCTCCAAGACTCTTTTACCTCTATGATTCTGAAATGTTTTGTGCTACCATATCAGAGTTATTTTTCCTTTAGTCAAATGAGTTTTTTCTGTTCCCCAAGCTGTGATGAACTCTCAAGAAGCAGGTACATTAACATTTCTAATCCAAACATTTGAAATCCAAAATGCCCCCAAATCCGAAACTTGTTGAACACTGACATTATGCCACAAATGGAAATTTCCACATCTGACTTCAAATTGCAGGTGCAAACTACACAGCTTATTCGACATTCCCAAGGGAGAAATGACCCTCCCAGCCCCCATTTAGCTGCATTATGTCTTTTCTGCACGCAGCATGATGGTGATACCAAACAACCACAGACTGTCCACATGGGTGGCCGAGGTAGTGACACCTTTGCTTCCTAATGGGTCAGTGTGCTCAAACTTTGTTTCATACACAAAATTATTTAAAATATTATATAAAATCACCTTTAGGTTATATGTATAGGGTGTATATGAAATATACATGAATTTTGTGTTTAGATTTGGGTCTTATCCCCAATTATATATATTCAAGTATTCCAAAATCCAAAATCTGAAATACTTCTGATCCCAAGCGTTTCAGATAAGGCATGCTCTACCTGTAGCAGAAATGGAATTAAACTACTTCCAGCTCTCATGTCCTTTATCTGCTCACCTGAGCAGGTCCTTCTGTGAATGGCACTCTCATCACACAACCACAAGGAATTTTGCCTCTTTTGTTTCTATTCCTTCTCTTTTATGACACAAAGTGACAGAAGCCATCAAGGTTTAACTATTTTTCACATTTTTACAACTCTGTGCATTCTTGTGTAACTGGCAAATACCATGAAATAGTATTAATTACTGCACAGAGGAAACCTTCAACTCACAATAGATTTTACTGTACAATGGTCATGAATGCAAACAGTGCATTTGACCTTTAATTCATCTGCTCCCAGCCTTAGTTAGTGGCCACAGGAATCCAGGAGCAATGTTATGTCCATGAACATGAAAGCGTTGACTTTGACAGGAACTCCAATTTAAGTTTGTGCTTCTGCCATGCTCCTAGCAGAGGTAAGCCTTTTTGCTATATAATTTATGTGATTACTTTTTAAACTACAATGCAGAAAAAACTGCATACCTGGTAAGATATACTAACCATGACAAAGCTGTAACACCCCACTATGCGCTACAGAAGAAAACCAGTAAATTGCCTGGATAATTTGGGCAAAAGAAGAAAAAAAAATCCACATTTACATGAAATATCCAAGTAATTCTAATTTAGTACTTTGGGGCCATTAATATCTAGATGATGGCACTTCTGTTTAATGCCTTCTGGATCTGAGTGATGTCTTCAGTGGAAGAAATTTTTCACTGAATTTTTTAATCATGAAGGTGATTTTTTAAAAAAATGTTGTAAATAACTAAAATCACTTGGAGTGATATCTAATAAGTAAAACAGCTTACCACATTGTATTTCATGTTTCTGAGACTGAATCAAGGTGTAACTTTAAAGTAAAAATGTTGATTGTCTTAGCTAGCTTATAGCAGTCCCTGGGGAGCAGTTGAGTGATGACTGCTCTTCTGCCGGAATAAGGGTTGCTGGAATGAAGGTGCTATTTTGAAGGGCAATATTATTGATATGCTTAAGTTTTGTTTTAGAATAAACAAAAAAGTTTTATTTCCCTTCTTCTCAGTCACAGCTCTTCTTAAAAGTACATCCCCCCTTTTTTAAAAGAATTTTTCTAGCATCTCTTGCAGTCCCTCAAGCCTCTTTTAGTGTCACAATGTCAAAGCCACTAGTTAGTGTCAACAAAAGAGTCAAACTCTGCAAAACATTTGAAGAGATTTATTCTGAGCCAAATATGAGTGACTATGGCCCATGGCACAGCCTTTAGAAGGTCCTGAGAACATGTGCCCAAGGTGGTCGGGGTGCAGCTTAGTTTTCTGCATTTTAGAGAGGCAGGAGACATCAATCAAATACATTTAAGAAATACATTAGTGTGGTCCAGAAAAGCAGGACAACTCAAAGGGTCTGAGGGGTGTGAGGGGGGCTTCCAGGCTATAGGTAAATTTAAACCTTTTCTGACAATTGGTTGAGTTTGTCTAAAAACCTGGGCAGAAAGGAAATGTTCAGATTAAGATAAAGATTGTGGAGACAAGATTCTTTTGAAGTCTTATAGTGGCTGCCCTTAGAGACAATAGATGACAGATGTTTCCTATTCAGATCTTTAAAAGGTGCTAGACTTTCAGTTAATCTCTTTAGGATTGGGAGGGTCTGGAAGAAAAAGAGCTAGCTATGTTAATACAGATTCTTTACAGATGCAAAATTTCCCTCACAAAGGGCCGCTTTGCTGGGCCATTTCAAGATATGGCAAAGAAACATGTTTTGGAGTAAAATATTTTTATTTTCTTCCTTGTCTCGTAATGTTATTGATATAAGAGTTAGAAATTACTTAGGCAGATAGTAAAGTATGGAAGTTCTCAGTAAGATTTTACTTTTAATGAAAAGCAGCCCCAAATCATTTTCCTTTCTAACAAAGAGCAGCCTGTAAAATCCACCTGCAGAAATAGATGCCGGTAATTGTGCCAATCATGTTCAAAATGGCATTTCCATCTTCCCTTCTCTGCCAGCCAGGTGTATAGTAAGGAGTAGACAAGATGGCAATGGCCAACAGGCCTTTTGCATAATACAATTAGGGTGGGGTGACCACCTTCCCCGTGCAGCATGTAAATGTCACACCTGGCCGAACCAATCTGTGGGCCCTATGTAAATCAGACACCACCTCCTCAAGCCTGCCTATAAAATCTGCTGTGTTGGCCACTTTTCCCTTTTTTGCTATATAATTTATGTGATTACTTTTTAAACTATAATGCAGAAAAAACTGCCTACCTGGTAAGATGCACTAACCATGACAAAGCTGTAACACACTATGCGCTACAGAAGAAAACCAGTAAATTGCCTGGATACTTTGGGCAAAAGAAGAAAAAAAATCCACCTCTCTCAGACACCTTTCTCACAAGAGAGAGCTGCTCTGCTCTCTTCTTTCTTCTGCCTATTAAACTCCACTCCTTAATCCACTCTGTGTGTGTGTCCGTGTCCTTAATTTTCTTGGTGTGAGACAACAAACCCCAGGTATTCAACCCCAGACAACAATGTCACTTCATTATGCCAGAGTCAGGTTGGAAAGTAAGTCATGATATATAGGGTTAAATAAAACCCATCTGATGAGAATTTATGGTTTGTAGGGCATGACTCCCCAGACCCCTTAGATAGGAATTTGGGCAAAATTTTAAAAAAATCAGAACTTAGTCCTCATTAGAATTCAGAGTTCCATATGCAGGAAGGGACAGTACAACTCTCCTGGCCTCAGCTTGTCAAATAACCATCAAGTGCCATGTCCTTTGCCCCAGTTGCCCACAGCATGCCATCCTAATGCCAGCCTTGTCGCGAAGTGAAGTATTCAAGCTACACAGCTTGGGAGAGGGGTCCAACTGGTGCATTTTAAGAAGCCGTGGTGAGAGTTAAATCTCGAACAGTTGATGATGTCTCTCTGGAAGCACCCATTTTAACATTCCATGTTACTGGAATTTCCAAGAAGACAGAATTACATTTATATTAATACTATGCTTCATGAGATGTTAAATTTTTTCTTGGTGTAGAGGAGACTGCCAGTGTTCTGCCTGCCACTACTATGTGACCCTCCCCTGGCTTCTGTGTGCTCTTGCTTCCAAAGCTCACACCAATTTTCTTGGAGGGCTACCAAAGTGCTCCTGGGCCTCAGCCCACACAAGCACGGAGCTGAAAGTCCCCAAGCAGCCCTCAACTAGTGACTGACTGGTGCAGGAGTATAAGGCACAGTTTTCTTGCCCTGGGGTCAAGAAAAACGCCGAGAAGATAGGCACAAAATGGGAGCCAAGGAATTCTAATTTCTATTTGTCACTTATCAGCCCAACACTAGTGACCCTAAACAGCTCATTTTTAAAAATCCCCTAGAATCTATTACATAAAGCTTAGTCAGATTTATATGAATGCTTTATTCAGATTTGTGTCAGTCAATAACTTGCATTGAGGATTCCATGTAGACAGAATACTGTGCTTATATTTAGATTATATAAAGGATACATGAACATCTATCTTGAGGCATATACAGCTGCCAATATATTCTGTTTGTTCTTCTCTGGTTGATGAGGGAAGTGTCTCATTCCTATGAATTCCATTGAACTTTACAATGCCTTACAATGTATATGCCTATGGAAAATTATCAATGGCATTTGGAAATACAAGGTCCAGAGTTGAGATCATAGCCAGAGAATAGAGAATGGTTTGCTTGCTAAACAGGTCACAGCAGGGGAGTGAGAAAGGAGTCTTAGGGAAGGCTCTCCATTAGGAGACTCGAGGTAGATTACCCAGAGATTAAAACAGAGCAGGTAGGAAGACCTACTACCTAGGAAAACATGGTGTCACAGAAGATAAAAAGAAGTGCTTTGAGAAAGATGCAACAAGAAACTGTGCTTCTTCATGAGCAAATTCAATCTTATCAGTCCTCCTTCACATCGCTAGGGGCTGCCCCATGCACCACTCCTGTTGCTGCTGCATCTCCCAAGGTACTTGTGTGTTTCGGATTTTATCTTTGTACCTAACACTCTATTTCCATGACACTGTATTTGATAGTAGGGAACATCATCACCACCTTTTTTGAAGTTAGTTTGGCAGGCAGTCTTCTCTTGCAAATATTATCACAAGCTCTACTGAGCTTCATGGGCCCCTCCTTAATCCTTACTTTGGCTAGTTGTTTCTTGATATCTGAATGCCGAACAACAGCATCTACTGTAGCAGCAATAGCCAACAAATGCACAAGTTAAGTAAAAAGAAAAGAAAAATGAATTTCCAACAAGTGGAGGTATTTAATATAAATTTAAAAACATATTCAATGTCTTAGTGGTTTTTACCATTGATTTCAGCCAAATGGGCAGGAACATTTTCAAGTTCAATTGTTTCTGGGCTGCTATATTCCTGTCCTGTTGTGGCCTTAAGAAATGTTCACATTTGCAAGTTGCACCAGATACCATCAGATCTAGTTCTCTCCCTGGGGCCCAAGGATGCTCTTCTTTTTCATCTCTTTTTTTGATCACAGAGGTGTTTTCACAGAGTTTATCACCAATAGTAAATTAGTAAATTACATTCCAATTCTTTGAGTCAGAACAACGTTTCCACATGCACACCCACGTCTGAGTTGCTGTGTTGCTACCAGTTTTGCCTACGGGTGCGGGTATTTTTGGAGATGAGTCTAAAACATCTCAAAACCACATGAACATGGAACAGTGAGAACTGATGATTATTAAAAGATAGTTTTCCAGGCTTTGAAGAATTTTCACCCAAAAGACAAGAGTCTTTTACTATTTTCACTTAACAACAAGAACAGACCTAAGTACAAGCATTTAAATTAGAAGGAAGAAAATCCCAACAATGCTGACGTATGGTATACATTGGAAGTGGTTCCAAAAGCTGAATGTGAAATGAACTTCTAGGAAGATGTTAGAAATTGAACAAATTTGCACCAGTCTTAGGAGGGTTTGGGTAAAGAGGGGTTCAGCAACCTCTATGTCCCTTCTCAGCTGCACAATTCACAATAATACTGAATCACTATGAGCTTCAAAGTCACAGTCTTTAGCATCCAAAATAATTCATGGAAAAGCATTTACAGCAGTGTAGGCACTGCTTTTTCATAGTACTCAAATGGCATGGTGGTTTTGGTTGGCATTGAAAATTAAGTGAAAGGGCCGGGCGCGGTGGCTCAAGCCTGTAATCCCAGCACTTTGGGAGGCCGAGGCGGGCAGATCACAAGGTCAGGAGATCGAGACCACGGTGAAACCCCGTCTCTACTAAAAATACAAAAAATTAGCCGGGCGCGGTGGCGGGCGCCTGTAGTCCCAGCTACTCAGGAGGCTGAGGCAGGAGAATGGCGTGAACCGAGGAGGCGGAGCTTGCAGTGAGCCGAGATCGCGCCACTGCACTCCAGCCTGGGCAACAGCGTGAGACTCCGTCTCAAAAAAAAAAAAAAAAAAAAAAAGAAAATTAAGTGAAAGGAATTCTGCATTTTATAAAAATTAAAGTAAAGCAAGTGAAAAATATTATCTGGAATATGTATAACAATTTATGTGCAATCTCAGATAAAGTTATGTGATATTGTCACCTCAGTTAGCCTCATATATCTTGAAGCAGCTCTGATTTCACGTTCAGTAAATAGTTATTGAGCTTGTAATTCAGGACTCTGTGCTAGGCATTGGAGATGCAGTGATGAATGAAGTAAAGCATCTACCACCATGAAGCTTATAATCTTCTGGAGATAGACTTTAAAGAAGCAAACAAACAGATAAATTACCAACTGCAGAATACGAGAAGGAAATAAACAAGACATCATGATAGAGCATTACAGTGAAGATTTACAGTAATCAGAAAGAGTCTCCTAAGTCATTTCTTGGTTATACAAAAGGAGCCAACATGTTGTTTTAATGTAATATATTAAACTATATGAAATTGCCATAATTTGGCCATATTTAAGCTAAAAAAATGGCAATTTTGATGGCAACCTAACAAAAAGAAGCTATGCCTTTATATTTAAACTAGTCAATTTGGAAAAATTCATTTATATAAAACAGTGTAACTCACATTCTCTAGACATGCACATGCAAACAAATAAACATGTTTAGTGTCTTTCTGTTTTTTCTAAAAACCTGAAAACTGGCAAAAGCTGGGACAGAGAACAAGTTTGAGGCAGGGCAGATTTTTATTGCTGTATCCAGGATGAGAAAACTGAGACCCAGAGACCTTAAGTGACTTTTCAGCAATCCCTCAGTGATGTCGCAAGTATTTTAAACTAGAGCTAATAGCTGCCTAGCTATTATGCTTCTCCCTATTATTTAATTGACTGTACTTCACAATCAAATTTGTTGTTTTTCCCTGTCCCTGTATTTTCATATTTTATCAAAAGATGGCCTTGCCCAGTTGTGGCTGAGACTGCTATGTGTTAGTCAAGTTCCAAATTTCCTTTTCCTCGAGGACACAGCTAGACTACATTTCATGGCCTCCTTTGCAATGAGGCACATGCATTTACTTAAGCTCTGGTAATGGAAAGGAGTTGGAAGTGATGTGTCCTCTCCAGGCCAGGCTCATGAAATCCTTCTACATAATGCTCCACACATTTTCTCCTTCTGCATCTGCTGGAAGGAGAAAGGATTTTAAGGTCTTGGAAGAAGTTGGAGCCACAGGATAGAAGAAGACTGAACTTGGAATGACTATATGGAAAGTGACTAGAGCAGAAACAAACATCTGTCTGAATTCTCTGGGGCAAATAATACATTCTAATTATATTAAGCCATAAGATTTTTAGAGATTTTTGTTATGGTAGCGAATATCACTTGCTTTAACTAATACTGTGACATTGTTATTTTTAAGTGGCTTTTGTTAGTATTCTGTAGGCATAGCCTGAGTTAGAAGGTGTGTTACTTTTTTTATGGATGCTGTAATGAATTGCCACAAACTTGGTGGCTTAAAATCACACAAATTTATTATCTTGCAGGTCTGTAGGTCAGAAGTCCAACATGGCTCTCACTAAGCTAAAATCCAGATGTCCTTTCTAGAGGCTCTAGAGGAGAATCTGTTTTCCTCCCTTTCCCGGCTTCTAGAGGCTGCCCACATTTCTTGGCTTGTTGCCTCTTCCCATCTTCAAAGCCCTCGATGGCTGGTCACATCTTTTTTATATCACATCACTCTGACACTGATTCTTCCACTTTCCTTAGCCACGTGAATGGTCTTGTGATTACACTGGGCTCATCTGGCTTATCTAGCATAATCTCCCAGTCTTAAAGGTCATCTTAACTAGAAATCTTAATTCCATCTGCAAGCTTAATTCTCGTTTGCCATGTATCCTGACATAATCACAGATTCGGGGGATTAAGACACAGACCAGATAGCTCTGGGGGTCCTTTATTCTGGTTACTCCCCAAGAGTACCTAAAACATTGCTTTAAGATACAACATGAAGGTGGAATCTAACCTTAAACTTAAACTGAGCATGAACATGTTTACCCAGATCTTCATTATATTTTGATATCCTCAGGATAAAATTATTGTGCCTCTTACAAATACTAAAATGATACTGGCGACCAAATGTGTCTTTAAATAATTAAGAGTATATATACCTAACACCACATAATCATTATTTAATTTGTACATTCTCTAGAGTTCCATATTTTTCCAAGATAGACCGTGACCAAATTTGAGCCACAATTCAGGATAATCTCACCAGCTGGGAAAATTAGGAAAAGTAATGGTGTAAACATTTTTTGTCGGGTAAACATTATTCAGAGGGTCAATCTTTGCATCTTTTTAGGACCCTCAATTAGAAAGAACTTCTACTATATGTATACTATTGCATACATACAGTATGCATATACACAACCATACATGTGCATGCATTCACACCTGAGAAACATAACCACCCTCTCCCCCAGAAAAAAAACAGAGGTTGAGGAAGAAAAAAGAAGACTTGAACTGAAGTTATAATGAGAAAAGACACTGCAAAAATAACATTGTGGCTTCTGTGGGATCCCATATTTATCCTCTCAGATGCTTCCAGAGCAAACATAGTCCATTTATAAATGAAAGGAGGATTTTGCTGTCAACCTAGAGCTTCACCTGAGATCTGGGGAAAGAAAGCCCCACCCTCACTCTTTTAGTCTCTTACCTCATTGCCTGGGAGCAAACACTCCCACCCCTAAAACTCAGTCTTAGTCTCTGAAAATGTAGGCGTAGGGCATCTTTGCTTAGCTTTGCAGTACGGAAAAGGAAAGCAGTTAATATGTAAATCTCCTCGAGAGATAGTTTCAACACAGTTTTGTAACGTCAATGATTATAACTGAAATAAGGTTTCTCTTGAATGAAAGATCATATCTTCCTGGACTCTAGTCTCAGGATGGAGTACAGAGACTCTACCTGTTATTCAAAAGTTGCCTGGGCACCACAGGAGAGGTGAAAAGGGAAAATCAGTGGTTAGGAAGGAGATGTGCCCCCTGCTAATATCCTGAGGGCTCAAGAATAGAATGAAGACTGGATGCAGTGACTCATGCCTGCAATCTCAGCACTTTAGGAGGCCGAAGCAGGTGGATCACTTGAGCCCAGGAGTTCGAAACCAGCCTGGGCAGTATGCGGAAACCCCATCTCTACAAAAGCACACACACACACACACAAAATAAATAAATAAATAAATAAACAAATAAATAAACAAACAAACAAACAGGGCATGGAGGCACATACCTGTGGTTCCAGTTACCCAGGAGGCTGAGGTGGAAGGATCACTTGAGCCCAGGAGGTTGAGGCTGCAATAAGCACTTGAGCCCAGGAGTTCGAGACCTGCCTGGGCACTATGCTGAAACCTCGTCTCTACAAAAAAACACACACACACACAAAACAAACAGTAGGGCATGGAGGCGCACACCTGTGGTCCCAGCTACCCAGGAGACTGAGGTGGGAGGATCACTTGAGCCCAGGAGGTTGAGGCTGCAGTGAGCAGCGATGGCACCATTATACTCAGCCTGGATGACAGAGTGAGACCTTGTCTCAAAAATTTAAAAACATATATATACATATATATATATATATATATATATTTTTTTTTTTTTTTTTTCTGAGATGGAGTCTCCCTCTGTCGCCCAGGTTGGAGTGCAGTGGCGCTATCTTGGCTCACTGCAAGCTCTGCCTCCCGGGTTCACGCCATTCTCCTGCCTCAGCCTTCCAAGTAGCTGGGATTACAGGCGCCTGCCACCACGCCTGGCTAATTTTTTTTTGTACTTTTTAGTAGAGACGGGGTTTCACCATGCTAGCCAGGATGGTCTCGATCTCCTGACCTTGTGATCCACCTGCCTCCGTCTCCCAAAGTGCTGGGATTACAGGCATGAGCCACTGCGCCGGCCAATATATATATATATATTTTTTTAACTGTCCAAAAAGATTAAATATAAATATATTTTTTTCTTCATATATATCTATATAACAATAGAGAGAGAAGAGGGTTACTAATTAGGCAGGGATGGATTTGAATCCTGACTTCACTGTACTTAACTTAGTATCATACTATGAACAAATTCCACAAACCCTCCGAACCTGGGTTTTTTTCATCTTTAGGAGGTTGATAATCATTCCTACTTTCAAAAGAAGACTTCCGTGATGACTAAATGAGAGTATGTTTGTGAGAGGTCCTAACCCAGAACTTGGCTCATGAGACTTAGGAACATTTCAGTACACTTTCACAGCTCCTCCGATACACCTGGGCATATATGCCCTCAAATCTATTCCTCACCCCTACCCTGTTTTTTCTTTCTGTCGCAGACGGCATAGCCCCCTGCAGGCCACTTTCCCCATACTCCCATATCACCTGGCTTCTGGCTGGGTTTCACCCATGGGAAATACTTGTGGGAATTAGAAGACAGGGGTTATAGGAACAACCCAAGGTGTTTTATTCCCCTCTTCCTGTCCCCAGCCTTTAGTGGTTGCTCTGGTAGCAGCTACATTTTCTTTACATCCCTTCTAGCAGACAGACCCATGATGATTCCAGCTTTGATCAAGTGGTCTCAGTCCCTTAGGCATGGGGAGAGCCAATTCCTTCCAGCTGTGGGATGATAATGGCTGGCCTCAGGATTCGCTCGCTGAAGCTTATGCAGCCTGATTTGGCTCTCTACTTCTCCATCACTTGTGTTAACTAGTTCCCTCCATCAGAATCCCTGTTTTAGATGCTGACAGTAGTGTTTCTGGTTAGATCCCAATTAATACAGTTCTTTTCCTCTTTCCTTGGCAGTGAAAGCAGAGGGAGCAATATAAAGATTGGGAAACAGACTGCCTCAGAATTACTGAATCCCAGCAGACTTTGCTGTAGTTACCTCCCTATTCTTTAGCTCTTCGGTCTTTCAGTCCTAGTTTTGACTTGCTCCCTCTAAGTGATCAATATGATCCAATGATCTATAGAGAAGGAAAGTACCAAGAAGCATCTACCACTACCTCAGTGAGTGGTTTGAAGGGTACCATGGGTCTCTTCAAATAGAAGATCCAGTTAGTTTAGTTGTTCATCATCCTGAAGCTTAGAAACCAGGGCTTTCCAGCAGGTAAAATAACTGCCAATGGGCTAGAAGTGTTCTGATGTGCAAAGTAGGTGGACGAGATGGTCAGTATTAGTGCCTTGGGAGAAACCACTTAAGGGACCTATTACTTCACTCAGGCATCCGCACAAGTGACACTCAGAGAAGTCTGA